TTTTTTATTAAAATATTCAAAATTTATATTTGAATAAATTTTATTAAAAATTGAAGAATATTCATTGTACAATAGTTTACTTATATAAATATCACTAATTTTAAAGTTTTTAAATTGTTATTTATAATAACAATTTGGTTTCTTTAGGGGTAACATGTGTTTGATTTTTTAAATATACAGATTGAATTAAATAAAATCAGTCTTTAAAAGATCCCCCCTTCTTTTTTATATAAATTCTCATATTTTTATTACTAATTTTCTTCCTTGCATCAATACCACACTGGTATGTAATAGCATTGCTAATTTATCAAATTCCAGCACTAAATTTTGAACTGTAAATAACACAGGTGGTGCTAGAGTCATTAAATTAAACATCTGACAAAATTTCAGGTTATGCAAATAAACAACAGTTCAACAAGATCTTCAGTCCCAAAGTTTGACTCTCCAAATTAAAATAGTTGTAAGGAGATAGCGTGCAACACATTTGATTGACAGGCAGATACATCCAGTCCAATCTGGCTTTTGTACCCAGTACTTGTGTAGTTTCTATTTTAGGAACGGTCCTTGTTACTAGAGCACGTTGATTTTTAAACAAATAAATATTCAGTAGTCAGCCTGTTATGTGAATAAATTTTGTCTTGAAGTTGTGAAGTCCTGGAAGGTGTTCACTTTCATAATTTGGCGGTAAGTTTGCTAGACTTCGTTTTGGGACCACGTGTTTTGTACCAAATGTAGGTCACTCTTTTCAATGCAATCCAGGAAGAGACGAGAAGACGTTAGTATGCAGCAAAAAATTATTTTTCAAGATTTTTGTTCTTAAGTTCTAATAAAACATAACCTGTCCGTCGGACAGCTCACCCTGCCAATTCTCTTGTCCGAACTGAATTTTTACCTATGGAGCCCTGCTTTGGTGTCATCATACACTTTATTTGATTGTGTGATACCTTCCTGTGTTCTTTTCTTACGTGCTGGTGCACCACATTCATTATTAGCACCAAAATACTTAGGCCTACAGAGGGTAGACTGCGACAGGGGTAATCCTGACTACGACTTAGGCGCAATCCACGTGCGTTGTGACGTCATTCAATTAAATTTTTTTATGAGAAAGACGTCGTACAATTATAATTACAGATTATAGAAGAAGCAAACATTAAACTGCGTAATTAGACGAGATTGTATGAACTTGAATGACCACACATCGTTCGTAACTTGTCTCGTAAACAAGCATATTAATGACGCGTTTGATACTTTGTATCAGACGTTTCATAACACGGTGAAGGGTCTTTGCGCTAGGCATGTCGGGAAAACGGTGAATAAGCATGTACTTTCGGTTTTCGTTCATTTGTTGCGAGTGTCGATTTCTTGAAGGGTAAGCCTCATTGTTTTCGTTTTATTTCAACCAAATCTGCTTAATATGAACTTGCATTTTGATTTACAATTATTTTAGAGGCCAGAAAATGGCCAGACCGACGGACTGGCAACTTTTGGAAAGAGACCGCCCGGGTGATAACTGAGCCATCCCGGGCTGCCAGNAAAAAAAGAAAGAAAAAGAAAAAAAGGCCCTAAGTAAGTAAACTTGCACTTTCCTTAAGGTGTATCATACTGCTAGATTATGAAACCCATGCCCTTGAAGCCATTCCAGGGCCTATTCTGAAGCAACCCTCAGCGTCTGCCATCGAGCTTCTTCCTTTGGAGAGTTTCTTCCTTTTTTATATGCCGTCTCTGAGTGAACAAAACACTCCGATGTGCACTCTTTCTCTGTCATAATATTTTTCAGTAGTTACTACATTATATTTGCTATATATGTACTATTATTCCGAAGTTCATCTTTCTACCACATGTGGCAATGTGCTTTTCGCTGCCTGTAAACATAATCACGTGGCCCTGTACGTAATAGATCACAGCTTGAATTGCGTCCCATGATTAGACAAAGTTCATCTTTCTACCACATGTGGCAATGTGCTTCTCGCTGTCTGTAAACATAATCACGTGGCCCTGTACGTAATAGATCACAGCTTGAATTGCATCCCATGATTGGACACTGCTATATTATAAATATTCTACACAGTGCACATGTACTCTGGATTTACTCGAAAAAACTGTAACCCCGTAAAGGTACAGGGTTTGAATGAAGATGGTGAATAATAATATGTCTATCTAGCATACAGTCAATACGTGTAAGACGTAATAATTAGGTCAGATAAAACTGTGATACAATAATCATTGTTTTATCTAATTAGTTGTGGATCTTAATGTAATGTGTTCACAATCTGTAACATGTACAAACAGTGTTATGAGCCACTAAAAACTATAGTTTATTAGACCTATCAATAATTCACCCTCGACTTATCTGCTTGGTCCCACTTCCGTGCTGACACTAGTATTCCTGCCATTACTATTCGAGTCATTTGCACTGTCTGTCTATAAAATAAAACTGAGAATGCGTCACTTCCCAATTAATGTTCAGCCCAAAGTTACATATATAACTCATAAGGACGATAACTACGGTGTGTAGGTCTGAAGATATTTCAACTGTGAAGGATCTTCGAGGAATCGGTCAACAATACGGATTTCTTTTCCGCGAACTTGTTTGCCTTTTGCAAAGAAAATCCGACTGAAACACGTGAGGCATGATACATGCATTTTCTGCATTTAAAATGTTACTGTGATCCAAATTCCAGTAATGTCAAACATATACCAAAAAACATGTTGAGAGGACAAAAGGTATGCCACTGCTCTGACAAACAGGCCCTCCATCGTCATACTAATCACCTATGTTCTGGCTGAACCCTGTTGTGATTGGTCGTGAGCGTGGGAAATTCCAGGCCGGAAGCACTTCCGACTGTGCTCCGAAATCATGATGAACAGTTTTTGTTTTCTGATTTTTTATTCTAGTGGTTTAAGCAGAACTTTTTTGGCCTAAGCTGATTAAGATAATCATAAACGATCACGTAAAACAAACCTGAGGATAGTTTTACTTAAAACCTACATGTACCCCTATACATTAATTTAACCCACTGAGACGTACTTCAACTTATGACATTACTTCAACTTAATAACATTTTAAATTTTTGGGTTGCAGCTATGTCAAGACCTACCTTTTGCCAGATAAACCAAGAGTTGGAAAGAGAAAAACAAAGATTAGGAAGAATACCCTGAATCCAATATTTGATGAAACGGTGCATGTAAGTCATCGTGAACTGTAAAGGAAATTCTATTTCATTAGTTGGTGCCAAGCTTAAGCATATAAGGTGAACAATTCAATACAACACGGTTTGTTTTTATGTACATGCTGTGATATACTGCTTACTATCCTGTTTCAGTACAACATCACTAAGAATGAGCTGGAAAGAAGATTTCTGTGGTTGTCAGTCTTGGGCAAGGTCACATTTGGCCACAATGAGTCCCTGGGTGAACTTCTTTTGCCTCTTAATAAGCAGAACTTTGGTGACACCTCGCCACAATGGTTCCAGCTATCAGGAGTAAGTCAGAAAAGTTACCGTTGTATTCAAAACAACATTAAATGTCGATTGAGAGACCGGGTTGAAGCATTTACACTGGAAAAATGTTCATTCCAGTAACGGTGATATAGAACATATGGGTTTGTTTTTCAAAAGATGTAAAATTAATTTTAAAGGGGGTTTCTGCCATGGCATATAGAGCATGTGGTTGGAATATCCCCAGTACGTTACTGTATGGAAAATACAATATAATTTTAGTCATGTTAACATCAAATTCATTTTATTTTCACAGTGCGCTATTTTTAATGATGATAATCACAAGTATCACATTGTGTTGATTTAGTTTGTGAATTCCCACTTTTTCCTGAAAAACAGGGCCGTGTGGCTGCTGGGGATCAAGGCATTACTGACCCGCAGACCACCAGAAGAACAGAGAACCAAGTTCTTGACCAAGCCCATATGAGCAATCAGTTACAAAATGTGTCTACTTCATTGAAGACACCATTACAACCTAACGTTGGCAACCAGCAGGATGACTTCCAATCCCAGACAACCAGGAAGATGGTTGCACAGGGACAATACCAACAGATTCAACCATCATTACAACCTAATTTTGGCAACCACTGGTTGCAACAAAGCAATTTTCAATCTCAGACACTACCTGGTGAGTCAGCGGGACAAAATAAACGCTATCACCAAGAAGGACAATCCCAACATAGCAGACTACCTCAGGTGCCAGTCACTGACAACCGCCTGGAGGAACATGGTGATGACCACTTTCAAACAATGAGGAAATCAGGTTATGAATTTGCATCTTTACCCCCACAACAGGACCCGGTGGCTGCTGAGGATCGAGACCAGGGTTTTACTGGCCCTCCAATCATCACAACAACGGCAAACCAAGTACTTACCCGAGTCCCTGGGGATAATCAGTTACAACGGCCATCTAGGACAGTAGCACAAGAGAATACTGGGGTTCTAAGACAGACCCCAACTAATACAGGCAATACAACTAATATATACAATGTTCAGTATGTTTACCACAATTATGGTACAGATGAGAAATCGATGCCACAAATGAAAGGGAAAGATATTACGACATCATTTTATAAACATGTCCCTCCACGTGTAAGAAAACGACTATACGAGGCTTTTTGTCAAGTTGATGTATGGAACCAAGTGAAGAAGATGTATGGCATTTCAGATGATACCCCATGTCCTCCTGATGTTGTGTCTTTATTGTTGTCTCAAGTCCATGGTTCTATTGCATCTTTCATCAGTGTGTTGTTAAATTTAAAGGAACGCCACAGAGAAGGAGAGCAAGACATTCCACAAGATTTGATTGATGAAGTGAAGGTAATTGATTATATGGTCTAAAATGTGGTCAAATAAATAACCAGTCTTTTATTTTTTAAAATGTTAAGGTATGTTTTGACTCCAAAACAATTTTTTCACATTTTAAGCCTTTTCTTTGTCTGTGGTACCTTTTTTTTTAAATCCTACAAAGTTTTTCATTTCTTCATATTCCAAGTGAAAGAGTAAGAACTAGAACTAAATGTATGAGACAAAGGGTAGGGTGTCTGAGATTACCAGTAAGTGTAGTGTCATTTGAAAGTCATTTACACAACATCATGGCTTAAAGGAATAGAATTTGTAAATGTGGCTTACTATATTTCTTTTCTAGGAAGGACTTCTGAGTGAAATGGAGTACAACAAACTGAGAGAGAAAGTGGTTGACTTTGCTGAGGAACTTTCCATTTATATAGAAAGAATTTTAGATCACCTGTATCAGTTTAATGTAATACCAGATGAGGAGACAACAAAGTTAAAAAACGATGCAAAGAGAAATCCACAAGATGCTTGTAGAGATTTGTTCAAAGCACTCCTTGCGACCAGTCCTAAAAAAGAGACAATTAAACATCTTAAAGCTGCATTCAGGGATTCTGGTCTCTGGTATCTGGCAGATGAACTAGAAGTCAGCTACCAGGATGTAGAGGATGAGTTACAGAAACATGGAGGTGGCCGGCCTTCTTGTGAAGAGCCGTTGGACATAGGAATGGCAGCTCCACCCAAACATGTTGCAGGTGAAAATCCTATTGAAGAAAATTAGAACTACATTTGTACAGTATTTGACAGTATGTGCCAGGATATTTATGCTGTTCGGGCCTTAGTGGACTAAGAAGCCTATGGTGTATTACCATAGATATTGACATCAGATAAATAAAATGACTCTCTATTTTTTGTGATTTTGAACAACCCTGCATAAAAAACTACAACCAGGCAACCACTTATACCGTTCAGCATCATTTGCGTAAAAAATATCTTTTAACAGGAAGATAACAGAAATTTTAGAAAAAAATAGTGGCCCATAAAACAACCAATACTGTGAGGGGACTTCAATGTTGATTTGTCTAAGATCTCCTAAAACCTGTTTGTGTTCCTTCTTTATAATACCACCAACATTTAATGGCGTCAAAGCACACTATCCTCCTTTTTACCACATTTATGTGCAAGCTGTAAAACCAGTAGAAACAGGTACACTGTGCACCTATTACAGTGTCATGACCCTGTATATGTTATTATCTATGTACAAGGTGTAAAACCAGTAGAAACAGGCACACTGTGCACCCATTACAGTGCCATGATCCTGCATATGCTATTATACCCATATATACAAACTAGCTTATAAATTACTCCTTTAGTTCTCTCCCATAAAAAAATGGGTATTTGTAAAAAGCATTATATATATGTAAATAGTGTCAGTATGTGTTTAATGTAAAAACTTTATTCTGATAATTTCAACACCATCTAGTTTTTGTAAATATATTCCCTTAAGATGGCATCACCACAAATACATGTGGAAGATGTTTCAATATGTAACACATGCTTAAGATATAATACACTCAGCTTTCTCTCACACAGGGTATAGTTTGATTATTTAACATGTGTATGCATATAAGTCCATTAATTATTTTGATATTATTCAAGCTGGAAGTTTTTAGATGTAGCATTGTATTTAATTATCTACAAGAGCACTGTATACATGCAGATTTTTTTATTGAGCACTTTATGCTAATATATTGCCCTCAAAGATGACAACACCACATATATTTATGTATGCAGAAATGTTTCAATTTGTTTCATGCAAGATATGATATAGTTTGTTCTCATTCACAGAGTATAGGTTGAAGATATCGTAACTTGATGTGTACTGTATATATATAAGTTCATCAATTAGTTTTACATTACCCATGGTGGATGTTTGAATATTTAACATTGTGTTGAATTGTTTTTTAACCACTGTATATGTGTAAAAATTTGATATTTAAATTCAGTAAATGTATTCCCTCAACAATATGGACACCATATAGTTTATATTAGTATATTCTCTCAAAGATGGCAACAACATGGAAAGATGTTACAATATTTAACATATTGAATGTTTTTTTAATCTAACATGTATATATGTGTATGTATGTATGTATGTAAGTTCATTAATTAGATTTATTTAGATCATTCATGGCTTTTATCAAATTAGCATAAATATCTATATGGAAAGATGGTTTATATCTAACACGTTTAAATATGTAATCACTTTTCACTGACAGAGAGCTTAAATTGACATGTTTTAGTTTAATATCTATTATCCTACTGTGCATATCAGTTCATCAATCAGTTTTAAATGATTTGCGGCTTTTACAAAAGTACCAAGATGTGGTCCTTGAAAATAAACTCATTCCCTTCTTTAATTGTCTTACTGATCTTACCACGTTTAAATGATACACCTTGGACATCAGCGTTGTTGCCATGACGACTACAATCCCGTCCCTTAGTGTAGATTTGCAGCGGCCAGAACCCAAGAGGTTCCAGCACTCTTACTGGAATAAAGATGCACCGTTTCAATATAAAGGAATAATTATTTTTATTAAAAAAATCAAAATTCACTCTGCAGGCCCCTTTCAAAGCGCACACCAAGATCGTTGGGGGAGGAGGGGGAAAGTTAATTTTTTTCATGATAAAATTCATTATAGAACTATAGAGTTTGGCTAAAGCATACAGTTGAGCTCAGAAAGAACGTTCCAGATTGTTATTTATTTATTACCTCTTGTTACCAAAATCTTACTATCTAGCTAACAGCGAGAATTATGGGGTATAAGAGCTGACACCTCTGAAGTCACAGTCTGTAATGAATCACCAAACTATTGCCTGTTGATAACACAGCGAGCAAAAAAGCATTGGGTTCAAGTAACACAAACCATTCATAAAAGAGGGGCGGTGTTATAAAAATTAACCAGTTATGTTGTTAAGAAGTGTCACTTTTGGTAACGTCCCATTCGTCATAATTGTGTTAATCGCCGTTTTTGGTGGTAAAATAGAGTTTATTATATTTCTATGAGTTGTTTACAATTTATTTATTGTAAAATAAGGATATCTCATGAAAAGTTGTTATCCCTTTAAGATTGAGTTCCCACAATATGAATATGCTACGCATGTATATACAGCGTGTCTAAATGTGTCTCTTTCGTAATTCTACAAGATAGACTACATTTCATTTGTCACTGGACAAAATATCAACGGAAATGTCTGAAACGAAATTACACTTTTATTGACAGCAATGCTGGTGAAACTAACTGGCAGAGACAGAACATGTCATAAAACTTCTATAAGAAATCATATACAGGTCAGCTTTGAATGCAGGGACATATGCCTTAACTATTTTAGAGTTTTTGTTTCAGAATATATAGCTTTGCTCATTCATTTAAATAATTTTGACTAGGAAAACTAGGAAAATGTACATGGTTGAAAGTACATTAAAAACGGGATCTCATGCGTTTTAAAGAATGCTTTTCTGTATTCTGTGGGTACATGTATTTTGAAGTGTGTGTTTGGAGCTATGTTATAACCCACTCTCAATTTAACTTAAAGTCAAGACATACTTCACATGTTACACATATCTAACCATGCATGATGTTTGGTTACTTTAACTTGGCTACAATAAAAAAAGCATTTTTAGAGACCTTAAAATCGTGATGTCCATATTGATGTGACAATTTTTAGAGCTTAATTTTAACTCATTTCTTTCAAGCCACCCACCCCTTACATCTACAAACACCCACAAAAAAAAAAAGAGTTTTCCCCAGCTTTCGGTTAGTCAAGCATAGCCGCATTTAGGCTTATTAACACTTTGACAAAGTTTTCCACCAAACTTCTTTTCATCAAGAGAAATACAATGTACTGAAGTTGGAAAAAGGAAGCATTATATACAACAATATGTTGGTCCAATCAATCACAAGGGCGGATCCAGAATTATTTAAAGGTCGTTCCGCGGGGTTCGGGGCCCCGAGAAATTTTGGTATTTTAGAGGGCGAACGGTGCCATTTTATACTGTTTAGAACTGTGATTCAGCTAGTCAAAATTCTAATTTCAAGAGGGGACCATTGGTGTGTTGTTGTTTTTTTTTCAAAAATCAAATAGGAGGTCAGGACCCCCTGAACCCCCCCCCCCCTTATCCGTCACTGAATCCGTAATTTCTACATATTCTTGGAGATATTCATATCATCATGTTTTTTATCTGCCATGCAGTGAATTAAGTACAAACATCAGTTAAACAAGGCTTTAAAGTCTCGTCTGACTTTTGCTTGTTGTTGAAATTTGTATTATTACGATTGAAACATAAAATGATTGTGGTGACACAATATATTAAATGTAGTAAAACAGCAATATATTTAAATATATATTTAAAACATTCAGTCAGAATAGATACGGGCTGTCACTTTTCCGACAAACAGTTCTTCCAATACATGTTCTTCTAATGACTATACCCCCAGTTCAAAACCGATTCATGTACTAAGTACTGACTCCCACCTTACTTAACAACCATGCTAATTCAAGAGTTTGAAGACAACTTACCACAAGCTTGAGGGTTGCACACCCGCGTGACGATGCTTGAGTCACTACAGCTTCTAGTCTGCAGTCCACCACCACAAGAAGCGGTGCAGGCGCTCCAATCAGATTCACATTGACAGTCACATGACTACAAATGAAAGACACTTGGTTATTCGATGAAAATACTATGTTGATGTACTTTCATTTATAAACCATGTAGGTACACAGACATACATGATACATACACATATACAGACAGACATAAACACACACACACGTACTGATATATCTATTTACTGATCTATTCAAATATATATAATCTCACTCTAGTCCATCATTGCTAAACAGATGCATTTGCCTTTCAAACTGTATTTAAATTATTCACCCATTGCCCACCTGATCTCCAGCACAGAAGACAGCCATTGTAAGCAGAAAATACCATGATCAATATCTGGTAAACATTACCCACCTGATCTCCAGTACAGAAGACAGCCATTGTAAGCAGAAAACACCATGACCAATATCTGGTAAACATTGCCAGTGTCCTTTGATTGTGAAAAAATAATAAAAAAGACATTATATTAATTAAGCAAACTAATGTACGAAAATCTATTATTCAAACTTAAAATACGGACAGTTATCAATGTCAAACCTAACTACCGAAGTCCATAAAATGTGAATTCTTATCCTTACATTTGTTAAATTGTAAGTCATTAACTTTTCAAGGCTTAAAAAGGGACAGTTATGAATATTAAACTTCACTTCCAAATTTTATGAAACTTGAAGAACAAAACGTAGATTTGAAATACAGGTACATCCCTATAGTGTTTCATTACATTTGTTATTTCCATCTAAAGGTAAATGTCTCTGAATCGTGATAATTTGCATACCTGCTGAACAACTAAACGAAAACATGAAATAACGACATTAAGGTAAATTTATAATAATTTCGTCGCGTTTTTGTTTTTCATCCTTTCGACAGTTTGGCCACCTACACCTCGCCAGTAAATTCTGCGTGCTGAATTGAAAACAATTAATTGATCGGCAAACGAAAATGTGCAAACAATGAACTCATGAATGGCTTGAAGTAAGTACAGATATGCTTTACTCACAGTAAGTGTCTTCTTTTGAACTTCAGCAATATTTCTTTTTGAATTCACTTTGTCAGCCTGCTGTGTTGCCTCTTCCTCCGTCTGTGCACAGAGCAACGTCTGGGAATGAGTCACGGACGATCTATGTATAAGCTTTTATACATGACGCAATGTAAAATGCCCTTGTTATCCAATGGCATTGGAAAATGAATCCATAAAACCAGCATCCACACAGTCAGCTGGTCTGACTGCTTAGTAGGTTTTTGTATTTTACAAAATACAACCAATAATGCTAAATGGACAATGGAGCATTTAACCAGAACAAATTATTTCCTTGTTCAGTCTTTTGAATTTGACGTGGGAAATTTAATACACATCTTTCCCCCCGAACTTTTTTAATATCCATATTATATTCACTCTTTATTATCTGTGTTTATTTTTAATTACATAGTTAACAAGTGAAACAGGTACACTCTGTTATATTGCATCATCCTTTTTTGACTTCTAAGCTACTGCTTTTATTAGTTCAGTATCTTTGTTACCTTTTTTTCTTTTTGTGTTTTTTTAATTAGGTATAGTACCGTCAGTGGAGTTCATAATTAGGTTTCCTTTCTATTCGGTTTTTAAAACGTTTAGAATATCTTAATCCCATTTTAGTGAATAAAAAGTGGTGGACAAACAGTCATATTAATCCCTTTAAATTTCAAACGGAATAACACAATAGATTACACGAGTGAACCCTGTGACGCCGGTATCTGCTGTCATTAACAGCNCTTACGTTAACTGTACTTAAAAACGAGAGACAAAACAAACAGCCCTGTCATTTCCAGCTAATATAATCTAGATTTGAAATTCAATAAATAACTCGAATTATTAATCATTAGTTTATTATCCTCTCTCTTAATATGGTACGTGGCCCTTATTGGATATTTCGACTTTTCGAGTTTTCAACTTTTCGAGTGTTTGCCTTTTCGAGTTTTCAACTTTTTGAGTTTTTGACTTTTCGATTTTTTGACTTTTCGACTTTTTTACCAGTCACATGGCAACTGCCTGCACGTAGTCCTGAAGTTTCGGAACGGAGCGCGTGCGCTGAGATGATGTCGCAGTCCAAATTTTATAAATTGTGTAACCTTCACGGAAGTTCAAGAATTGCACTTTATGCCCTGCAAAAGTACCTGGTGAAAATTAAGACATGGTAGCAGAGTTTATTATGTGTATCATCGTGTGTGATTTACCTAGAAGTAAGAAGCAATTATTGAGGTAGATCTCGACGAAGTCGGCCAACTGGTCACTTTTTGGCGTTCATTTCAAAAATATATTTCCATGTAGGATTTGTGTCTTTATAATAAAGAATAAAACTGTAAGGCACTCTTAGTTTTGTTGTACCACTCGATCAATGAGAAAATTACAATTAAAAAAATATGAATTAAAAATACAGTATGTGTAAATACACAATTGCAGGCCCGTAGGCAGGGGGGGGGTTCGAGGGATTCGAAAGAACCACCCTTTTTGCTGGGAAAAGGTTCACTCTGGGTAAAATTTGAACTATGTACTTGAGGATTTTATGGTAAAAGGTCCACTTTTTCAGAAAACGACCCCCCCCCCCTGAAATGTTGGCTACGGGCCTGCAATTGTCTGTGATTTTTCATTGAAAAAACCAAGCACCTAGTCCATTTGATTTTGATATAATGTCGTTCATTTTTTAAAGAAATTTTGACTTTCCCCATTAGGAACAAACAATTTTGTTGTTGAAGACATATCTTTGTAAAAGTGTGCAACCCAAAGCAACAAATTTTCAAACCCAAAATAATTCTGCAGAAACACCTAATGAAATATGAATATAATAAAATCAAATGATCAAAGATTACAGATATAATTAAGTTTGATGAGTGAGGATACTAACCTTTTCTGGTACCATATCACATGGAAAGTTACACTCACCTTACATAAGTGCCATGGGCAAGTGACATAGTTTTAGCAATCTCAGTTGCTGTGTATCCAATTTGGGCTTTGTCGGTGCTGGAGCCTAGGTGTTGCGCTCATTGCAATGCACCCTTGTCCAAAAATGGCAAAATTAAGTGCTAATTATCTACCATACCAAAGGAATTATGGGAAAACGCGGAAGTCATATGTGGAGATTTCAAATATGCCCTTGGATTTGACCTTTGACCTTTATTTCAAGGTCAAACGGGCCAAAATGAAAAAAAAACGAAATTTTTTACAAAAAAAATTATTTGTGCTGATATTCAGAAACTACACAGACTTATCCTATAATATTATTGGCAGGTGCTACCCTTCAGGTGGTCTTAAAGCTCCGTGAGTTTGGGGTCAATCAGTGCATTTTCACGGGAATAGCGGCCATGAGATACCGAAACTGAAAACTGTCTCTAATTCGGGAACCGTTAATGCTAGAGACCTATTATTTTTTTCATTTTGTAGAGCATGTCAAGCACAATACTGATAGTGGTCTCTGTTTTTTTTTTTTTTTTTTTTTTTTTTTTTTTTTTTTTTTTTTTTTAAATAAGGTTTTAGGGTTTTTTTTTTTCAAAAAAAAATTTTGGGGGGGAAAAAANGGTGAAAGCAAAATGTGCAATACGGTAATGTGTAATAAATTGTGAACCCCTGGAAAATAAAACATAAGGCTTGGAGAGGCAGACAACTTCAGGTCAAAAATGCCATTATTTTATTAAATTTGAACATCTGGTTTTTCTGAGCACCTCCCATTTCAAGAATTTCAACCAAAATGACCTCTTCTTTATTTCAATTAATTTTTTTTTTGTACCAAATTTATGGCACATTATTGTAACTCCAAAATTGTAACATTTAGTCCCTTATATCTCCAAAACTGGCAGAGATAGGTCCATAGTTACTATTGAAGTTGAATAGAAAGTCATATACTGGCAATCTAACTGTGACCTTAAAATTGACCTTTGACCTACTTTTCACCATGAACTGAGCTTTGCAACTTTTCTATCCCTTGTATCTTCAAAACTGGCAGAGATACACCTATAGTTACTATTAAACTTGTTTAGGAAGTCATATACTGGCAATCTAGGTGTGACCTTTAAATAGACCTTTGACCTACTTTTTATGATGATTTCTGGCCTTCAAATCTCCAAAATTGGAAAAGGAATGCCCATGGTTAATATTAAACTTGAACAGGAAGTCATATACTGTGACATTGAAATTGACCTTTGACCTACTTTTTCACCATGAACTGAGCTTTGCATATGTTCTTGTCCCTCATATCTTCAAAACTAGCAGAGATATGCCCAGTGTTGCCCCTAGGTTTTTTCTTTTGTCAGCATATATGCAATACTGACAACACATTTCAAGGAAAACCAACAGGTCTATTGTCTACAGATTCACAGGAGTGATCAATGTTAGGAAAATACAGGTCAATTCAAAAGTCTGCTTGATTGTACCATTTTTAGTTATATTTTTTTGCATTTTTTGAGAACTTTTGTTGATTGCATTTTATAGATCTTGTCAAGCACAAGACTGGTGGTGGTGTCCCTTTTTTTTGGTGGGGGGGAAGGGGTCCATTCGAATGCACTTACTCCAACTGGTGGTACAATATCCGGAGGCGGTATCGCCTCTCTGATCCTCTAGTTTTTAAGGGGATTTGGTAAAAAACAATCTTCTCTGTATTTTACAGGTATGCTGACTTTTTATCTGGAAAAATTGCTGTAGGAACTCTTGATGAAGTAGGTTCAGGGAACTACTGAAGTGGACTATTAGCTTTTTACTGTCTGTTAGGTTGTCTTTATTTTAGGAAATTCTGCAATGCTTTTTTGTCAGTGAATCCAGACAGTAGCCGCATTAGTTATTTCAGAAGTTTGTATAATAAGGACCTCAGTTATTCAGAAAATGTTTCTATTTGGTTAGGTAATATAAGGTCGGCTTTGTTAGATGTAGAGTCATTGGAGCAAGTATTGCCACTAGAAGATAGCTTAGAGTTACACTGGTTAAGGACTTGTTCTATAGCACAGATGTGGGGGCAAGCAGGCCAGAATAGGATAGAGTATTTAGATGTCTTAGAATGGGGGTACCAATTAGAAGAAGGGAAACTCAAATATAAATTCTCAACAAATGAGGTGGATAAATTAGCACAGGATAATTTTAATTTCTTAATGAAAGGGTGTAGTTGTAGGAAGGTTGACCATGTGTGGCAACCGTTGTGGATGTAGGAAGAAAAATAAAACATGTGGGCCAAGTTGTGTATGTGAAGGGGAGTGTTTAAATAGCTTAGATAATTTATGTAGCGAAGAAATTATAAAAAAACAGTGATAGTGAAAATAGTTGTAGTGAAGCAGAACTTTAAAAAGCAATTCAAACACGCAAATATAAATAGCTAGGCATGCTTTATTGTCGACAAAAAACTAGATATGCCCTTCATTTTTAATTAAGAAATATAGGACCGACTTTTTCCTCTTGAAAATTGAATGATTGTTGTGATTTGTCAAGGGTAGAATTTCCCACTATCTATAGAGCCTTCTTGATTCTTGGAGTAAAACTAAACTTTTAGTCATATTTTATTTAATATTAGAATTGGTAACGTGATCTTCATACTGCATGGTAGAAAAGCTACAATTATATCAAGCTCATTTTTTTCTTTGTTGCCCATTTTTAGGTTGGCATAGTTTGAGAAATCTGCTGAACAGGCTTTATTTCCAAGAAATCACGAGGAACAATAATAATGAAACTGTTTACATAACTGCTATATTTGGATTTTCATTACAAAATTTAATTAACTGAACGTTAATAATAAATGATAAAATCAGATGGTGCTACCACAGACTTTTTACATAACTGCTATATTTGGATTTTCATTTCAAAATTTAATTAACTAAACGGTAATAATAAATGATACAATCAGATGGTGCTACCACAGACTTTTTTCAGGCTACAAAATTTGAATGCTTTGGGTTGCACACTTTTAGATCGATATGTCAATAATAAATGACCCAATCTTGATGTCAAAGCTGATTTCCTTAAAATTTCAGTGGATGTGTCCACATAATTATTTTGGGTTAGACAATATGAATGCTTTGGGTTGCACACTTTTAGATTGAAATATCAATAATAGATGATTCAATCTAGATGACAATCTTTG